AGCCCACCGCGGCCGGGACCCACTCTGCACGCACAGGCTGCGGGGCGCCCCGTTCCGCCCGCGCCTCCCTCGGCCCCTGCCGCCGCGGGCTCTCCGGAGGAGCGCCCTCCCGAGGCTGAGCCCTGCGCCGTGCGGCAGGGGCTGGAGGAGCGCGCGTGCGACTGTGAGCGAGAGTGAAAGCGCGTCTGCTGGGTGTGACCATGGTTCCTCTCAATAAAGTTCCGCTGTGACACTCCTGTCTTTCCAGTTACTGGCCTCGGGCTGGGAGTGGGACTGGAGTAGGATTTAGAGAGCGTGACTTAGGACCTCGGAGTTAGGCCCGTGCTCCTCTGGGGCTGGGCTGGTGGCCCGCAGACGAGACCTCGGGACACGCTGCAGCGAGGGCCCGGAGGACCCCAGACTTAAAGCGGGGAGGAATCTCATCCAGCCTTCAGACCTGCGCCGTGGGGTGGGGGCAAAGGGAAAAGCGATGGCGGGGAACGGGCGCAAGGTGGGTGGGAAGGGCCGCGGGGAACCCGGCTGACCTAGCTTACAGCCTTGGCTTGTAGCACGGAGCAACGTGCCGGGAACCGCGGCAGCAGTCGCCGCCGCGGCGCTCCGTCTCACCTTCACCGCCGTGAGTTGGAGGCGGGGCCTGGGGCCACTACTGCCCAATCACAGCAGGGCGTTGCCCGGGGTTCCGCCCCCGCGGCCCGCTTGGCCAATGGGAGAGCGAGTAGCGGCGCGCACGCAGCGAGTATCCCCGCCGCCACCTCCGCCGGGAAGAAGCCGCGGCTGGCTGGCGGGATAAGCGGTGTCTCTGCTCTTCGCTGACCTCCGGGGGGCGGCGCTCTCCCGGTTTCACTCCAGCAAGTTGTTGCCCGCCCGGCCCGAGAGTTCGGCCCCCTCGGCCCTCGCCCTTTGAGTCATCCGCTCGTTCCGCGGTGCCCGGGCCACGCCGGGGGTGGGGTGAGGGTCGGCTAGGCAGACGCCACCGCCGCACTCCGGAGGCCGCCGTGGACGCGGGGCCGGCGGGCTCGGAGAAGCCTTTATACCTGGGCCTCAGCTTCTTCTCTATGGGAAGAGTCTTGAACTCAGGGTTCTCCGACCAGTGAGAGCGAAGACTTAGGGTGCGAAAGCGCCTGGGAGCGAGGCCGCGCCCCGCTCGCCTTCGGGGCCCCGCGGTGACGCCCGGCGCGGCGGGGCTGTGAGGCGCTGCCTGCCCGAGAGCTGCTGTGCGATCTGAGCAAAGGAGCGCCCGGGGTGTGGCCGAGGTCCGCGCCCAGCGCGCGTTAGCGGTCACCCAGGCCCAGCATCGGGAAGGCTAGGATTTCTCCAGCGTTTCTGTGCCCAAAGCAGAATAATCGGCCATGCCCAGCACCGAGGAGCAGCCTCATAGCAGAGATGGGCTCAGTCCAGCCCCGTTGGGGCCGACTTTGGCCACATCCGCGGGACTCACAGCTGAAGGGCTCGCGCCAGAGCTCCTAGTGCTACGGGGGAGGCTGCAGGGACCCTCTGATGGCTGCCAGGACCCTGTTCTCCCCTCATTTCCTGTCTCTGGGTCAGGGCAGGTGACTCCCGACAGCTCCGGACGAGACCTGGTTTCTCTCACCAGACAGGTCTGGTGACTTTCTCTTAATGGGGTAGGTCCTGGGAGAATAACTTCCTTCTTTTCTCTCAGCGTCTGACTTTTTTTGCCTCTTGGCTCCAGACCATTCAAGGTTGTCCTGTATGGGAAGAAATGAGCTTCCCTAGGTGGTGTGTTGGTGTTGAGGGATTTCAAAAGCAGACGCTGTGAGCTGAAGATCAAATTAGACATCTGTTAGGGCTCGGTTTGACTGGTTTAGGCACCAGCTTCTGATTATAATGGTCCCAGACTTTTTTTTGTGTGTGTGGAATTTAAAAAAAATGAAAAATAAAAACTCAAGTGTGGTAGTACACACCATCTGTAATCCCAGCATTTGGGAGAGGCTGAAGCAGGAGGATCGCTGTGAATTTGAGACCAGCCTGGACTACATAATGGGATCCTGTCTCAAAAGAAAAAGAAAACAGCCGGGGATGTAGCTCAGTGGCACAAGCACCTGTCTGACAAGCACAAGGTCCTGAGTTTACAGAAAAAAAAAAAAAAAAAAAAAAAAAAAAAAAAAGCAAAAACAAAACCCTCAGTAAATATTTAATACCATCTTTTCCTGGTCTAGAGATGACATTTCAAAATTTCAGTTCCACGGCCCGGGGGTACAGAGTTTCCTTTGGGATGGTGAAATGTTCTAAATAGTGTGGACAGTCGCACAATTTGGTTAGTATGAGCTGAACTGCACACTGTAGAAGTATGTCAATTGTACCTCAATTTTCAAAACTCTGTCTTGGGGCTGGGAGTGTAGCTTAGTGCGTAGAGCTCTTGCGTAGCACATACAAATCACTGTGTTTGACCCTAGTGTTTGCACACGCACACATGCACGAATGCACACCTGTCCCAGAGGCAAAGTACATAAGAATGTCAAGTTTCACAGGAAATTCTATGGTGGTCATTCATCCCTTCCACTTGATCATATTCTTTTAATCTCTTCCAAATTTCAAAGCGGGGTGATGAGCTACTCTTCCTTTAACACATACACGGAACCTCGGACATGCTCCGCCAACATCTTACATTTATGTAAGGTGCATTTATTCATTTATGATTTCCTATCTACCTGATTCTACCTCTGGGTTTGGAGCCATGTGTTGGGTTTATTTCTCTCAGTTCTCTACAAATGGTAACCTTGTCTTATTCTGCCCTCTTTCTTTCTATAGAGATTCTAGCAAGGTTTGTACTACAAGGTGCTCAGATCTTAGGTTTAAAGCCATCCTTCCAAATGTCTGGCCACCAGGTTAGAGCCACATTCTTTTTTATGGAAACGGAGAAATGGCTGGCCCTGGGGATGAGGAAGGGCTACCCAGACAGACATCACGTTCACAGAGATAGAGGGGACCCCAGCCCTGTCCTTTCTACGCTGTCAGATTATCCGCAGGAACAGGCCTAGGGCTTGTGAAGATCTTTTCCTCCCAATAATGTGAGTGATAGCCGGGCAAGGTGGTGCGTACCTGTAATGCCAGCACTCTGGGAGGCTGAGGCAGAACGATGGAAAATTCAATCCCAGCCTGGAAAATTTAGCGAGACTCTCAAAATCAAAAACAGAAAAGGGCTGTGCTTAGGGATATACGTGCGCTTAGGGATATATTTGCGCTAAGTGCAAAGGTCCTGGGTCCAATCCCATGTGTGTGTGCTGGGCGGGGAGACTGATGTAGGGAAAACGTGCAGCCTAAAATTCTTGACAAGAGGGATTCTACTTTCTATTCTCTTAGGTACAGTTGCTGCAGAGGGCAAGGCCAAACTGGCCCTGTAGCTGCACAGGTGCAGGTGTCAGACAGCAAGACAGCCTTCTGCATCAGCCAGCTCCTCAGGAAGCCAAGGCATGGGGTCAAGCTGGCCCCCGTGGCTCCTTCCAGAAAAGCAAGGTGCTCCTTCGCGCTGCCACCACACACATGTCCAGCGTCCCAATCTCCATGCCTTTCCAGGAGAACCTGATTTCAGATGCTCGCCCCAAGACGGCTCTTCTCAGCAACAGCGCCCCCCTCCCCTAGATTGAAGTGGAGCACTTGACCAATATCTGCCAGTTTCATACCTTCATTCTCACAGCAATACAGATTACTGTTTGTTTTGCATATCAGAAGGCTGAGGCGCAGGCTGCAAAATAACCTCAAAACCAAGGTTGTACAATTGTCTATGTGCCAGCTGGGGCGGTGGCACACGCCTGTAATCCCAGCACTCGGGAGGCTGAGGCAGGAGGATTGCCACAGGTTTGAGGCCAGCCTGGGCTACACAGTGAGTTCAAGGGCAGCCTGGACTGTGTAGCAACACTCTATAGGAGAGGAGAGGGAGAGGGAGGGGAGAGGGAGGGAATGAAACAAGAGAAAACGAAAGGGAGAAAGAGAAAGAAAAAAAAAACCGTAAGTTTGAGAAGATCCGCAGTGTTCTGTGCTTCCCTGCTCCTGTTTGGACTTCCTAAGACTGGAAAAATCCTTCCAATGCTCCTCAGTCTAACTCTAGCCAAGGGCCGGGGAGGAAGGTGCGCTCTTAAATGTGAAGTGGGCAGACTTGTGGCTTACTCACCAGATTTAAGTTTCTCTAACTGGGTTCTGTTCTTTGTTCCTTTAAATTCCTCACTCTGTCCGCAAAGCCTCCCCGCCCCCATTCCTGCTCTGTGTGGGGCGGGGAGCGCGGGTTCTGCAGGGTGGCCCCCAGCCCCCCCCCCGAGTGCCCCCCCAGCCGAGTCCGAGCCAGGAATGCCTGTGAGGGCAGCAGACAGGTATGCCAACCTGGGGCATCGGAGGCTGACTCACGTCTCATCTCTGCCCAATCTTCTCTGTACAGCTCTGGGAAATGGAGCTCTTTGTCTAGAGATAAGAGGGAACTCCGAGCCTCCCCAGAGGAGGGCTCCGCACCCCTGTGAGCAGGTTCAGCCGGGAAATCCATGAGCAGGTACTTGGTGAGGGGAAGGATGTAAGAAAGGAGAGAGGAAAACCCTATGCATTTTCTCCTCCAGACTAAAGCTAACCTGAAGTCTCCTTATCTGAATAGAGAGGACAGACTTTTAGCTCAACAGGTGTAATTTACAAATCGGAGGGGATCTTACAGCCCGTCTCCCTTCTTGGCTCTTTCTATGACTCCACACATTACTGTGGAGGTTCCAGGATTCAAACACTGGAAGAACTTAGAGATGATGATCCAGGGCAAAGGGAAGCACTTGGGGACATTTCTTTTTCTTTTTTTGAGACAAGGTCTCACTATGTCCAGGCTGGCTCAAATTTGAGATCCTCCTGCCTCAGCCTCTGAGTCCTGGGATTACAGGCATGCGCCACCACGCCCCACTCCTGTTTTGTTTTGAGACAAGATCTCGCTGTGGTGTCCTGCCTCAGCTTCCTGAGTAGCTGTGCAGCTGGGACTAGAGGTGTGTGCCACTGTACTTGGCTCCATTTGGGATGGTTTTTCAAGCGGCCTCTCATCTCCCAACACATCTGCTTTGTGGCTTTGGAATAAGAAAGAAAAATATTATAATCTTGCTATGTATCCTCAGCCAGAGCTGTTTACCAGTGCTCATCTTTGCCACCTCAGTTGAGCCCCACGTCCTAGGTCCATCCATCCAGGCCCTCAACAGTGCGCCTGGACACCTGGGCCCCGGAGCTGCCTGGTGTGAGCTCCCTGGCCGCGAGTGCAGGAGCCAGCGGATTGGGAGCAGCAGGCTGATGCCACAGCAGTGTGCGCTGGTCTGGGCTTCTCTCTTCTGAGCAGGACAGAAAGAGGGGCTGGGCAGCCGGGTAAGCACAGAGGGGCTTGCAGCCAGGGGGAGAAGGGGAGGGGGAGAGGCGGGCAGCACGGATGTTAGTGTGGGTGTGGAGTGCAGCTGCTCCCCTCTGTCAGGGCTCCTGGGAAAGGTCCAAAAGACCCCTCAAATCTACCTTCCCTTTCTCCTTCCCACAGACCCTGAAGGGGTCGGACTTCCTGTGCTTAGCCAGCTGTGGGTGAGCATTTTGCTAGTTCAGGTAGACTGACCTGCTTCACCTCTAGGGTTTTAGAACCTCACCCTCCCTCCTAAGCCTCTCTTTTTTTCTTTTGGTACCAGGAATCAAACTCAGCACCTTGTGCTTGCCAGGCAGGCACTTGTCACTGAGCTATATCCCCAGCCCCTCTGAAGCCTCTCTATCCGGCTGTGAATCGTTGTGACGACCTGCGGGTTCTTTGATTCCATCTTGTCTTCCCAGGGCTGGCATCTCATCAGGAAACAGAGTCTAATGTCAGTTAGCAGGGGTGACCAGGAAGGATGACACCATCAGGGAGATGGAAAGGGACACTTCTGGAAAGCCCTTCAGTAATATGAATCGAGAACCTGGACAACAGCAGCCATTTTATTTCTAGGACTTTATCATGAGTTAAAAATCAGAGACTCAAAACAAACAGACAGACAAAGCTGGGCATGGTGGTGCATGCCTATTATCCCAGCACTCAGCAGGCTGAGGCAGGACGATTGCCATGAGTTCGAAGCCAGCCTGGGCTACATAGTGAGTTCAAGGTCACCTAAACTGCATAGCGAGACCCTGTCACAAAACAAAACAAAACAAAACAAAACAAAAAACAAAACAAAACAAGATTTTAAAAAAATCAGAGACTCGGACAAGATTTGGGTACAAAGATAATAACCTTCAGGCTAACTGTGGGAATCTGGACAGATAAGGGTCTAGCCATACCACTAAATATTATTATTAAGGTTTTTATAGCCAGGCCTGATGGCACATGCTTGTAATCCCAGCTACCTGGAAGGCTGAAGCAGGAGGATCATGAGTTGGATCCCAGCCTGGGCTACTTAGCAAGATCTTGTCTTGAACAAGAGGGGTGGGGTGGGTAGAGATGTAGTTTGTGCGAAGTCTTAGGTTCGATCCCCAGTATTGAAAAAAATTTAAAAAGGTCTTTAATATTAACTGTTATTTCTGTTATTGGATTGTGGATGACTTAGCCTTCTCTTCATTTTCCATGTTTTTACTTTTCTATTTTAACCAAAAAAAAAAAACCAGTCTAAGGTTGGTTGCCCTACGGGAGCGGGTCTTTCCCCCGCACACTTGGCACTGTAGGAGCCTCTGGGGAAGGCGGGGAAACCACGAGTCCCCCTTGACGCATTGCGGTCCCTCCCTCCCTCTTCCTGCGCAGAGGGGGCAGAAAAATCTTTTTACTGTCAGAAACTACATTTATTGCCAGATACAGCTGGGCACGCCTGTAGTCCCCGCACTCAGGGGGCTAACGCAGGAGGACCGCTGTGAATTCAAGGCCGCCTGAGCTACACAGTGAGGCCCTGTCTCAAAACAAACAAACCCACTACAATTATTGGGAAGAAAACACCCTTGCTGTTGCAAAAACGCCTGGAAATGAAGTTCTGATTTATTTCCACCCATTTCCAATAAATGCTGAGGCTGCTTGGCCAGGAGACTATAAAGCTAGAAATGGCTCTGGCCCCGCTGGCTCTTTGGTGAGTGCGGCCCCCTCAGGAGCATCACCCCTCTGACCACAGCTCTGCAACAGCTTGCAAAGTGCGACGCCACCCGCAGGCCCCGGATGAGGGATCTGTCAGCAGCCTGGGCGTCAGGCTTCCTGGGTTCTAGGTCTCAGGGGTGACTCACAGCCAGCCCCAGACTGTGCCTCCTGCCTCAGTTTCCCCGGCTTGCTCTGTGAGTACTCCCCACCTACTGGGCAGAGTATTAATAGGGGTGAGATTCTTTGAACTCCTCAGATGAAAGAGGCCAGGGAGGCAGCACCCGGTTATTATCCCCTCTGTGGACAAGCGTGGGAGCAGAGGCCGCCTGCTTCAGACCGATCCAGCCACAGCAGCCTCCTCACAGCCACTTCTGCCTTCAGCTATGGCTCCCAAAAGGGGACACAAGAATCAGTCAGCCCCAGTCTCATGCCATCTCAGAATGGATTTGCCTATGAATTCTCCAACTGCCCAACCCACCGGTGACCTATCTTCCCTTTGACTTATGATTCAGTAGTCATAAATCACCTCTGGGTACCTAAATTCTTTCTCCTACAAAACATGTGGAGGAAACCCAGCACTTGCGAGGCTGAGGCAGGAGGATCGCCATGAGTTCAAGGCCAGCCTGGGCTATACAGTGAGTTTAAGGACAGCCTGAACCTCACAGCAAGACCCTGTCTCAAAAAAATCTGTGGGGAGGAGTGTAATTACCCCTTCTTTCTTTATACCTCCACTTCCTCCCTCCCTGCCTTCTTAAGCAAACCCTCTATCATGGAGCTACACCCCCAGCCCAAAGACTGTAACTTCTCACCAGTAAGTCCAGCAAACGAGCGACACACACAGTTCAGCCAGCGAAGGGGGCCTGGGAGGCAGACACTGAAGTCCAGCCCCTCATCTTTGTTTCCTCCCTGTGAGATGGGACAGGTTTATCAGGAGTCCCCCCCACCTGTAGCTCAACAGGTTGCCGTGGGAACCCCATGAGGATGCTGTGCGGAGGCACTCTGTGAGACACCAGCCTACTGCGTGTGGTGGCGCACACCTGTAACTCCAGCTGCTCAGGAAGCTGAGGCAGGAGGAGTGCAAGTCCGAGGGCAGCTTGGGCAACTTGACAAGACCCTGTCTTGATAAAATGAAAAGGGCTGGATATAGCTCAGTGGTAGACAGCTTGCCTAGCTGGTGCAAGGCCCTGGGTTCAACGACCAGTGCGTGAAAAAGGGGAAAAAAGGCAACCCAAACACCCAGCATGTGTGTTAACAGCCTACAAACAAGACTCCTGGCAGGAACAATCTCACCTAGGCCATCAGTCCCTTTGGGTACCAGCTGCAAAAGTAAGTCTGGGGTGCCCTCTACTGGTTGAAAGTATGAACTGCACTCCCCACCAGCTACAAGAACAGCAAAAGCAAACAGCAGAATTTCCCAGCTTTCCCACCTTTTTTCATGTCTTTATAACAACTCTCCTATCGTATACTCAATATTTTCCTCTAGACAACTCATTTCGCATAAATTACTTCATTTTTGAAGTCAGCTTTTAGTCTTTTCAACCTTGCTAGAAATAGGATAAAATGAAATAAATAAAAACAGAACATTACTGAGTATGGTCTAGCCAGGAAGCATTACCTCTGAAGACTCCCTGGAGGCTTCCTGTTAGAAGTGAATATTAACAAAACATCACAGGAGTCTGGGACGGGCCCTGTGCTCTGGAGAAACGCTGACCGGGACGGAGAGAACTCTCCAGAGGGACAGTGATGTCCTCTTCTGCCCCAAGCCCTGGGCCTGGAGGACTGAAGGAAAGTTTGGAAGGCACAGAAAGTAGAAAGGAAACCCCCGTATTACAGCACACCGCAGCACAAGCCATGGGGAGACAGCTCCCAGCCTTCGGACGGCACTTCCCGGCGGCGGAGCCCAGCGCTGAAGGACACCACGGAGCGCCGGTGTGGTGGGTGCTTGCCCTTCGTCCGGCTTTCTGTCCGGAGTCCTCTGCAGAGCTGAGTGTGCCCCTGCGAGCCTCCTCGCACTGCTGGAGGCCTTGGCCGTGGGTCTGTGGCCTGCTGGCTGTCGGCTGCTCGCCAGGAGCCTCCACGCTCCCTGGTGCTGGTGACGCGTCCTGCTCGCTGGGCGCGGTGTGCTGCTAAAGCTGCATGGCTTCCTGCTCCACCGACTGCTCGGAGGGTGCCAGGTACTTCTCCTGGAGGCCTAGGGTGCTGAGGGCAGGCGCATCAAGGCTAACAGCGCAACAGAGGACTGGCCCAGGCAGGTCTGGCCTCACCTTTCCTTCTGACTGTAGCATCAGGGCTCACTGCGTTTGAGAGGCCTCCAAAGGCCCCAGCCGCAAACGCTCCTGTATTTTCCTCTCCCCCACATTCCTAAGGATCAAAGCACCGGAAGTGCTAACTCGCCGGCTGCAGGCCATGGCACATGTTCTGGAGCCAGCCAGCCAGAGGGGATTTGAATCCTAACTTTACCACTTCCTCTTTGTCCTCTAAAACATCAGAGCCATTAGGAGGATCAAACGAGACAGTGACCATGAAGGGCCTACTCCTTTTCCTACCGCAGGGAAGAAATTCGGAAGGCTCAAAGAAAATGCCAAATTTCTGCTTGGGCCACAAGGTGCCTCCTGTCTCTTGGAACAAGAAAATGGAGACAGAGGACACAGGTCACACTAGCAAAGGGACAGTGACAACACACTGACTGCGGTCACGCCTCATCCCTTCATCAGGGGCCACACGCTCTACGGCCACTACTTCTAACTCATTTGTTCTCGTGGGCTTTGTTTCCCACATGTGCAAGGGCCCGAAAAGAGCGGTAAATGCAGACTGAAATCACTCTCCTCTACACTCATACCCGCTGGTCCCCAAATCCCAGGTGGATGCTGAATCTCTGAGATGATCAGCCTGGAGGGCCGGGGCTTCCCTGCCCAACCTTGCACACGACCTGCACAAGCTCAGCGATGCTGCTACTGGTCACTAACCCAGCGCCAAAGGTCCAGATGCCTCTTCAGACCGCTCTGGATTGTCACAGTCCCCAGGACAGAGGAGGTCTGCCGCTTCTCGGCCTCCAGCTGACTCACACGGTCCTCTTCCTCCCCTTCTCACCTCAGGCACTAGCAGAACCCCTCATTCTCCTGCCTACGGCAGAAACCAGGGGTCTGAGTACTGTTCCACCTCCATCTAAGCCATAACCACGCAGGCCCACACCTGTGATCCCAGCACTCTGGGAGGCTCGGGCAGGAGGCTCACAAGCTCCAGTCTGGCCTGGGCAACTCAGCAACTTAGTGAGCCTCTGTTTCAAAGAATAAAAAGGAGCCAGGCGTGGCGGCACACACCTGTGATCCCAACACTCAGCAGGGCTGGGGTCTGAGGATGTAGCCAAGTGGTAAAGCACTTGCTCAGCATGTGCAAAGCCCTGGGTTCAATCCTCAGCACCACGAGAAAAACAAGGACAACCCTCCTCACATGCATGGGCACACACGTGCACACACACACACCTGCATCTGACTGAGCCACGTCCTTTCCAACAGCCCTGGCTGAACACGCTCTCCTGACCACCCAGGGGCTGAAGCCACGCCCCTTAGGACACTCAAGCCCCTCACTGCTCAACCCTGCCTGCCTCCCTGCACCCAGCATCTCCCTGTCCTCTCTCCACAGACAACACCATCAGACCGAGGCCCCTGCCCTTCTCCCTGATGACAAAGGTCTTTGCTTGGCCCCCTGTGTGTGCTGCTCTCCTGTCAGGATCCTCCCTCGCCCTGAGCACAGCCAACCCTGCAGCCTTCTACGGAATCAGTGTTTGCACCGGTGTGGGACCAGCGTGCCCAACGGATTGGTATGACACCAGTCACCCACAGGGTAGTGACCGCACCTCCTGGGGCCATTCTCAATCCCCAGGCCTCACCCACCCGGCTGTGGTCGGCAAGCGAGTGCAGTTAGGGAGCAAGGATACGAGGAGAAATGGAAGTCGGCTCCCACCGCGGCTGACATCATGGCCTCCAGGCTCCGCTGCTCCTGGACCCCGAAGCAGTAGCCGTTGGCTTTATCCACAGCCTGCAGGACTCGCTGGACGCTGTCTTTGTCCTGAACAGGGACGAGAAACATTCTGTGAGGGAAACGGAACCTCCTCACCATCTCCAAACACACCTGCCTGGTCTCATCGCGTGATGCCCGTGTGCGTGGAGTTTTCCTAGCCTCATGCAGCTCTAAATGTCCCCGGCGACCTGGCTTAGTCCCGTCTTTCCTGACTACCACCACTCAGGTTGGAGCAGGGAGCTCTTTGGCACACGCCTGGCGCCTAGGTTTATTCCTACTGTGTATGCGGTCCTACAACTTACGAGAGAAAAGTGTGGCATCAGAAAGGCAAGACGCAAGTTAGCTCAAGCTCAGGTCCGCCCACTGCAGAAAGGAACCTAACATGCACCGTGTCTCCTAGGTTACCTTTGCAGGGGGCAAAGCGAGAGGCTTCACAAAGCCAAGACCATCACTCGGCCGGATAAGCCTAACGTATCTGTCCCTGGTCCTGGTCAAGGCCCTTGTGGATGACTTTCTTGATGCCTCCATTTTCACACGGAGAGGACCCAATGACACAGAACAGACGGGAAAAAGTTTGGTCCATTCTCCTCACTGGAATCCTGCTCACAACCGCCCTGGCAGGAAAACAAAGAGGCCTGACGACAGTCATACCCAGGACTAAGACCAGTTAGGCCCTCCAAGCTTTCTGTGCTCTTGGCTGGCGAGTCCCAGGCATATCAGAGTCTGGGGCCAAGGGAAGAGGTCCCTCGTACCCCATACCTGTATGTTCAGAGGGATAAAGGAGACCAGGCTGTAGTCTTCAATGAGCTGTACTAGTTTCTCATTGAGCTGGCGGTAGTGGCGAAAGAAAGGGTCGGAAGCCAGGTGGTCAAGCAGATAGGACAGGTCCAGGACCTCTGTGTAGTAGTCCAGGTTGAAGGCTAAGGAGAGAAAGGAGGCTTTAGGAACAGCTGGTGTCAGACTAAAGACCTGAGGACTTTAGGGACCAGGGTGTAGTTCACTGGTAGAGCATGTGCTTAGCATGCACAAGGCCCTGGGTTCAATCCCAGCACAGCAAACAGACAGATAGACAAAAACAAAACAAACAAAAAAACCCACAATAACACCTGAGAACTAGAACTGTATTTTCTTTTTTTCCTTTACCTTTCTTCATTCAAATATTTGTTGCTGCAGGAACATGGAATTACTAAGAAGAAAATACTTGGGCTTTACTGCTGGCTGGGCCATTTACGAGCTATACAGACGGGTCTCCACCTCATGGGTCTGTTGTGAGGATTAAATGACAGTCTCCAGTGTCTGACACAGAGAAGTGTTTGGGCCGGGGATATAGCTCAGGGGCACAGCGCCTGCCTGAAAAGTGCAAAGTCGTGAGTTTGATTCCCAGTACAAAAAAAAAAAAAATCAGAGAAGTGTTTGAGCAATAATAGTAAATAACAATGTCAGACAGGCTTGAGAACCGTGCTCAGCCCTGCCTCAGGAAGCTCACAGTCGGCTGTGCCCCCAGGGCCCCACGCACTGTAAGAATCTGTAGGTGCTGGTCAAGTTGAATTGTGTTCTAGCAGCAGGGCCTCTTGGGTAAATGACCCTCTCTTTTTGGGTCAGTTCCTTGTTACTGTAAAGTAAGGAGACCAGAACAGGTGTTCTGAGGTATGTGATTCGGTTCTGTGAATAATTTCCCACTAAAAGAAAGGAGGCTCTGTACTCTGTCCTAAGGTGAGTGGAGGAACTCTGGGCTGAGCCGGTTCCTCTAAAGTATCGATGTCCCTCCATGTCCTGACTGCTGGTCAGCCTCACTGGACAAAGCCAACGTCATGTTACCATATCAGCAACGCCCCTCCCTGCTCGTGTGCTGCCAACTAGCCATCATTTTCTATGTTCCTTCATAGCTGGACGCTATTTGGGGAGTGGATGCCTCCAGCACAGCAGAACACCAATTCTGCAGGGAAAAAACGTCGACCACTGGGGATCAGATAATTCCTCTGCTTCGTACCAGCCTGCTTCTCCCTCAATTTTCCCCACCTTATCTGACTCTAGCATCTCTGCCGTGTGAGAATATGGCCATCACGGCAATTGTGTACAAGCCAGGAGCAGGCTGTCACCACACCACAGATCTGCCAGTGCCCTGATCTTGGACCTCCCAGCCCAGCTGATAATATTTTGTTATAGCAACCCAAAGACAAAGGCTTGGCCGGGGATAGAGCTCAGCAGCACAAGCGCCTGCCTGGCAAGCACAAGGTCCTGAGTTCGATTCCTAGTACCAAGAAAAAAAAAAAAAAGACAAAGCCTTGGTGAGCATAGTGGCGCACACCTGCAATCCCAGCACTCGGGAAGATCCTGAGTTTAAGGCCAGCCTGGGCTGCATAGTGAGACCAAAGCCTTTATGCCTACTAGACCCTCTGCCTAGGACAGTCTGCGTTCGGCTGACTGAACTGAACTCACCACTATTCTGATGCCAGTTCATTTGCCACTGCCTCAGATCACGGAGGCATCGCTAAGCCACTCACTGTCCTATCATCTTGTTTTACTACCTGCATTTTGGGGGGAGGGTACCAGAAATCAGACTTAGGACCTCGTGTTTGCCAGGCAGGCACTGCGCCACTGAGCTATATCCCCAGCCCCTTTGTTTTTATTTCCTTTATAACACATGTCACCATCTGTTGCTCTTATCTCCAAAACCTGTAACAGTATTTAGCACAGAATCACACAAAGTAAGAGGACAGGACTGAGGACTGCTGTACCTAGTATCACAAGGCCACGAACCGTCCCAAAGGCAGCTTTCTTCAACTGAGATCTGTGCTTCGCTCTAGCCCAGTAGCTGTCCCCCTCCTTGCCTGCTGGAAACGGGAGCGCTTACCTAGCTTCCCATAGTGCTCAATGAGGTCCATCTTGGAAAGGAGGTTGACGTGGGGCAGCTCCACATGCAGCATGGTGGCCAGGGAGGTGCACAGTACTGAAATGAACTTGCCTGGGTCTGTACAGTAGTGAGAATCCACAAGGTGAACCGCGGTCAGCTAGGAGGAGAAGAGAGGGTGAGAGTAACCCGAGGAGGCAGGGGACATCAAGCTCCTCTATCTTTTTCTCATCAGTCAGGGGGCCTGAGGACACACAGTGACTGTAAGCCTTCCAGAATGCTGTCTTTCTGCTTCTGTTTTGTTCTAACTGCCATCATTATGTTCTGCTCCCAGAAGACATGGGCATTTTAGAGAGAGAGACTCTTTTTATTTGTACGTTTTCAATCCACTCATCATGGGGAGTTGGCACATACAGCCATTTTTTCCTTAAAGATGCCTTGCGCTGGGCCTCCCAGTGGGCAACCGGTGCAAGTCCACTGCATCTGCCTCGGCATTTTCACTCTTGTGCCTGCCAATTAACAACGATCGCCCGCCACTGTCCCTATATCCTCTTCCGTTTTTCTGAAAGTCCCAAACTGAGTACTAACATATCCGTCTTACAGACTAGAAAACCAAGGTTCAAAATGATGATTTATCTACCTAGACCACACAGCGAGTCAGCGGCAGAGCCAAAATTCGAACTCATAACTGTCTTACTCTAAAGCAACTCCTACCTCGCTGTGACATGGGGGCGTGGCATCTGTCCTCCTCCCTGTCTCATTTGCTCCATCAACAAAATGGGCCTGCCCGACGCGAGACGCACCCTGAGATCCCACTGAGCCATCTGCGAGAAGATGCTACGAAGGGCACCGTGGTGTGTGCAGAGCTCCACCTGGCCGGGGCAATCGAAGAGGAAGTAGTGGCCACGGAGGGGGTCGAGCTTGGCACGCAGCCAGTCCAGGTTGGCTTCCAGGTATTCCATGCAGTACAGCAGGCCGCCGTTGGGCCCCAGCCGCAGCGCGTCCATCACGTCGCCCAGCCCCACCAGCTCACTCACGTCCACTGCGCATTCGTACGGCAGCCCCTCGTTGGCCGGGTCCAGGTTCACCACCGCCACGCGCCGGCCCAGCGCGCGCAGGAACTCACTCATGCCCAGGCAGTACGTGGTCTTTCCTGAGCCGGGGGGACCGATCACCGCCTGCCCGAAGGCTGTGGCCGGAGCGGCCGCCGCCATGGGCAGAATGCGGGCCGGTGCGGAGCGGAACCGCCAAATGGGAAAACAGGGCAGGCAACCACGCTGGGAGACAAGACCGAGGGCGGGAAACCCCCGACTCGCACCTAGATGGGGCTGATGGCGGTGCCCGGGCCCGCCTAGGGAGGATCAGCGGTAACACGCGCCAGGTTAGAGCGAATAGCCCGGTAACTACCGGACCTGTTCCCGACTTCCGGACGGCGTCGGAAACGACGGGCCACGGAGAGGAAGTCCCGCCTCCGGAAGAACGTAAATTGACGGGGCGTGGCCACGCAGCCGCCCTTCTGCAGAGGTTAGGTCTCCCGTGGATCCTCTGTTGCGATTCCTCTGACCCGAGTTACAAGAGACGCAGAGTCCAGCCATAAATGTTTTTTTTTTTTTTTGGTTTTTCTCCGGTACCGGGAACCGAACTCACGACCTTATAGCCATAAATGTTTTTATTCTGTCATTGCGCTGCAGACCTCGGGTCACCTCCGGACCCAGTGAGGGTGAAAGCGGTGGAGCCCCCCCCCCACCACGATCTTCTCTTACCAGCGCCACAAATATCTCTTCTTCCGATGCTTCCCCCGCTCCGGCTTCCCCAGCGACCTCCTCCGGACGCCGAGGAAGCCTCCTGATCCCAGGCAGTGCAGCTTTTCGAGTACAGGGCAAGCCCAAACCGGGACTACGGAGCGGCCAGCAAGCCCTTCCATCCAAGGAAAGGGGCCTTTTGTAAAAATGAGGTAGAGAACCGATAGGCAGCTCAGAACTACGCCATCGGACTGCCGCGCCCAGTCACTTCTGCTTCAGCGAGGGGCAAGGCCTGGCCTCCGCCCGCGTCCCGCCGCTGTGTGCGCTCCTGGCCGGGGCAACCCCGGCCTCACTCAGGTTCTGAGGGGTGAGCTGAGGACCAACTGGAGCCCCTCACAAAGGTCCTGTCTGTCCGAAACTTCATGCTGGTGGGCGGCTGGCGACGGAGGAGTGACTCCCCCTGATCCTGGGGTAGGGGTTCGTCGTAGATGGTGGAGATGAGCCCCAAGCCAGTTCCGCGGGGCCTCTTCTGTGGCCCAAATGGCTGCAGCTTCTCTCCATGGTACCTGGATTAAAAAAAGTCTCATGAATAATGCGACTCTCTGAAACCCCAGTGAAGGAGCTGGGAGAGGGCCGGGCGAGGTGTCGCAGGCCTAGAATCCCAGCACTCAGGAGGCTGAGGCAGGAGCATCGTTGTGAGTTGGAGACCAGCCTGGGCTACAAAGTGAGCTCAAGGCCAGCCTGAACTGCATAGCGAGACCCCGTCTCAAAAAGACAAAACAAAAACAAAAAAAAAAGAGTTGGGAAAGGATAGGGAAGTAGCTACTGACATCTGGTTTGTCTCCAAGAGTGCTGGGTTTTTGTTTTCTGGTAGTGCTGGGGATTGAACCCAGGTCCTTATGGATGCCAGGAAAGCCCTGTAGCACTGAACCATACTCCCAGCCCCAACGTGGAAAGCTTCAAGGCTGAGGCAGGAGGATCACCACGAGTTCAGGGCTGGTCTGGGATACACAGTGAGTTCAAGGCCAGCCTGGACTACATAGTGAGCCCTGCATCAAAGGAAAAAAAAAAGGATAGAAAGCTTTAAAATTCTGATCTATCCACTGCTGGTGTCAGCAACCAGGGACCTTAGATACAACTTTCATTCTATCAGTACAGACTCCCTAACAACTGTCAAGTCCAAACCAGACTGGGAGCAATGCCTGGGGGCTCAATACCCTGTTACTGAATCAGGTTTCTAGGGTCCCCTTAAGGATTAGTCTAAGACAAATAGCAAAGTGTCAGATCCACTTTTTCCTTCTACCTCTGTTTTGAAGCTCATTCTCTGGGAGTACCTGGCACCCACCCCAAAGCCAGTGGAACAGGGAAACGGGGACACAGCTGAAAGGCTGGTGTAGGCTCCTGGGAAGTCCCTCAGCCACACTCACCCCAATCCACGCTTGCATCTGGGGTGCTGGCCATCACTGTCCAGGGCCTCAGGCAACCCTGAGCACCTGCTGCCCAGGCCCTGGCCCTCAGCCCAGCCCTGCCGCTCCATCACCTTCCGGCCAATGCCCTGTAGAGGGAAAGGACAGCTCAATAACCGGGACTCCCTCTAGGGGTGGCGGGGGAGAAGAGAGGCATCAGTGGGCTGGGCATAGGCTCACTCACCTTAGTGTAGCGCTCAAAGGTGCCCACCTGGCGTTCAATCACGGAGCCGTCTTCCTGGCCATCACGGAGCCTCTGTTCCAGACGCATTTGGACCGAGTCTCGGGCATCTTTGTCTCCACCATCTGGGGAACCAAGGCCCAGTTTGTGGAAGTCTTTCTCAGCATAAGGGAGGGAGTCAGGTTTCTAGGGTCCCCTCATTGGTTCATTTTCTCAGCATCCTGTTACATTTTCTCTCTCACCAGGCTAGGAGTTTACCAAGAGTAGGAGCCATGGCTCTCTCCATCTTACAGATGAAATTATAGTGCAGAAAAGTCAAAGACCCCACAGTGACAGAGATGAAATTAGAGCACACGTCTCTCCCCAGCCCCAGGTCATGTTTTTGGCTCCAGAACTAACCTTTGGTTGGATCTCAAGCTCCTAACCATCCCACTCCACCAGGGCCTGCCCATCAGACCCAAGCCCCTTGGAGACCTTCCTCAAGTGTCCTTCCTCTTCACAAAGAGGGAAAAAGCCTCTGTCCAAGCCAGCAATCAACATACTCAACTACAGATGGGGAGTATTAGGCCCTATCTATAGGCTGTGCATCTGTGGATTCAACCAACCGAGGACTGCAAGTACCCAGGAAAACTGCATCTGTACTGAATGTGCATAGACTTCACTTCCTCATCATTATTCCCCAGACAATACAATAGTTGGGACTGGTGGTGCACGCCTATAATCCCCGCACTGGGGAGGCTAAGGCAGGGGGATCATTAAGTTCTAGGCTAGCCTGAGACCCTGTCTCAAACAAACAAAACACATACAGTATAACAATTATTCACCTCTTACATTGTAAGTAATCTAAAAATGATTAGTTTTAAGAGATGATTTAAAGTATATGGGAGGACTGTGCAGGTTGTAAGCGAGTACTATGCCATTTTATGGATGGCACATGAGCACCTGTGGATTTTGGTATCTGTGGATCCTGGAACTAATGCTATGGGGATGACGAGGGCTGATTGTACAGTGGGATGCCTCATGCCTGACAGAGTCGCTTCAGGGCCCAGACACCAGTTTCACACCTCCGAGTACTACCACCCCTTGCCAGTTACCTCTGTCGTAGTACACACTCATGTCCACGTCCCAGTCATCAGCTGTCTGCTCATCAAAGTCTGCAGGGATATAAAAGCATCCAGGGGAGTGAGTTAAGGGCTCTTAGTTCTGTTGACAGCAAAAGCTAGAGTTACACGCATTCCAGAACCTGGGGTTTTTGTGTATATTTTCAAGTTTTCTGGGAAGGGTATTCAGAATTGCAGTTGAGGGAGGCATTCTCTGTCCATTCGACTGATCCCTCCAGAAAAGCGCCCCCCCCCGCCCCATACTGGGGATGGACGACTGGTCTCATACACAATAAAGGTGAACTATTCCCCATCTCTTTTTTGGGGCTCACTCAAGGAATCTACCAGGTGGAACAGAGCCCCAAGAAAACGCAACAGGCATCACCTCTGCCCTTGCTTGGGTGCACTGCCTGCCCGTTATAATTTGGATCTTAAACATCCCCCCAAAGCTCATGTGTTAAAGGCACAGTCCCCAGTTGAAGGGTTACTGGGTGATGACAGAAACTTTAAGAGGTGGGAACTAGTGAGTGGCTTTAGGTTATCCAGGTATGTCCTTGAAGGGGACTGTGGGACTGTGGTCTTCTTCTCCTCTTCTCTTTGTGTCCTGGCTAGGAAGTGAGTGAGCTTCCTGCTCCACGCACTCCCCCGCTGAAGTGCTGCCTCACCACAGACCCAAAAGCAATGGGGCCAACTGATCATGAGAAGTAACTTCCTCTCCTTAAAAGCCAATTTATCTTATGCATTTGTTAGAGTGGCAGCAAGCTGACCCACAGCCTCACCTCCTTCTTCCTCCTGCCAGAACTGGGCATCCGTGTAGAACACCAGGCCAGAGCCGCCCTTCTCCCACTTAAGCTCGATCTCCTCCTCGAAGAGCCGCTCGGTGGTCCGCTCCTGCCCTGTCACATCTTCATGCAATGCCTCATGCCGCTCCCACTCCTCACCACGGTCATCATCCTGGGAGAAGGAAGGAGAGGTGACCCACCTGTCTACTTCCTGACCTCATGTCTGGAAGGAGGGACTTAGGGGAAGGAGGCCAGTAAGACTGGGCCTCAACTCCATTCCTTCAGGTTTCTCTGGAAACAGCAGAGATTTGGTCCTTGAAGGCCTGAGCTACCCAGCTCTCCATGCCCCTGACATTTCTCCGCAAAGTTTGTTCCTTCCCACAAGTCCAACTTACTCTTAGCTCTGGCCTTCTGGCTATGTGGTTTCCCTTGCCTGAAATATGTGCGCTCCTCTCCCATATCCTTCTCCTCTCCCTTTGGTTAAATCTTTCTTGTCCTGCAGCCTCCATGAAGTCCTGGGCCCACAGCTCTCTCACCAGTCTGAATTCTCAGTGCTAACGACTACGCACTGCTTAAGCCTTTATACGTCACAAAGAAAGCAGGGCTAAGAATTAAAATTAACACACCGCTGCATGTGGGCCCTTCCTAAAACTCAGCTTCGTTAATCATCCCAATGACCCTGTAAAATAAGTATCACTGTTCCCATTCTCCAGATGACAGAACCTAGATTTGTAGTAGTCCAGGGCCATACCATCCTGAACCTGCTGGATCTCATCAGAGGAGTAAACTGATCTGCCTACGATAGTACAGCAAGAAAGTGGCAGAGCAACATGCAGACCAGTCCAACACACCATGCATCTTCTCCAGATACCATTCTCTCCCTGCAGAGAAACTTTAGGCTCTTTGAGGGCAGGAAACAGGTCTCAGAATGTCTCTAGAATCCTATGCTAGCCCCTGGCTTACAAGTGCTTGACTGGACTTATGGAATGCTAGGGTTACTTCTGGCTTAAAACCCAGGCACCCCATCCTGGCTAAACTCCAGGAGGCTACAGGAATCGCTACTGTAGAAAAAATGCTACAGAGAAGCCAGGACAAGGCCACAATAAAGATACGGTAACATGCTGGGTGTAGTGGCGCCCAGCATGATACCAGTGTCCCACCACGGACAGGGTAGCACACTGTACTCACATCACCTGAGTGGGACTCCTCCTCTTCCTTCTCCCCTTCCTCCTCGGGCTCTTCATGGTCAGGCGGATCTACCAGGCAGGTTCCCTGGGGTATTTCCTCGCCCTCCGCTGTGTACACATACTCCTCCTGCTCCACAGTCTCTGAGTCCTCGTACTGGAAGGGCACATTGCCGTAGCGCCGAGAGGAACCTGTCTTAGGGAACTGCAGCTGCAGCTGGGTGATGATTCGAGGGGGAAGACGGCAGGCTCGGATCAGGTCCAAAAAGACCCGCAGGGGAGTCCCCACATTCCCATTGGGCATCAGTACTGGTGGGTTCAGCTCTGGCAGCCGCTGTAGGTCGGCCAGGGTGAAGGCTTCATTCTCAGACTTCCAACTCTGCAGCTCCTTCCGTGTCTTAAAGGGAAAGGAGTCCAAACCTTGGGAAGGAGGGAAAGGAATGGATTTTGTTTGGTTACTGGGGACTGAACCCGGGGCTTCACACTGAGCTACATCTCCAGACGCCAAACACCTCTGCTTTAAGTTTTTGAGACAGGGTCTCACTACGTCACTAAGTTGCCCAAGCTGGGCTTGAACTTGCGATCTTCTTGCCTTAGCCTTCTAGAGTGGTGGAATAACAGGTGTGCGCCATCTTGCTCAGCTGAAAAATGCATTCTGACACCCAAAGCCTCCAGCAACACTGAGCCAGAAATACATCAAGGTATAAGTCCATTTCCCTAATGCTGTTCCCTTTCTAACTCTTCCTTCTTTCCTGGCAGAACCGCCTAGGAATTTCATGCCACTTCTCATCACTTCCGCTGAGCCTCAGTTTTCTTCCAAACCTGGTTCCTGCTGACCTTTCTCTTTTTGGAAGGAGAGCAGTGCTGGGGATTGAACCTAGAGCTCCCCACACGTTAAGCACATGCTGTGCCACTGAGCCATGCTGACTCTCAACTGCCAACTCCCACCTACTGTAAGCTCTTACACCATGTGTCCAGTCATACCGCACATTTAACATACCCTGAAGGCTTCATGGATTTCTGTTTGCTTTGGTTTTTTGTTACAAGGTCTCCCTATGTAGCCTAGGCTAGCCTGAAACTCACTGAAGTCCTCCTGCCTCAGCCTCCTGAGTGCTACGATTACAGGTGTGCTCCACCATGCCCAGAATTTCTTAGATTTCTTATTTCTGCCTTTGCAAAGATTTTGTTTCAAAATTTAAAAATAAAAAGGTTTGGAGATGTCATTCAGTGTCATTCAAACCCTAACAACACACACACACACACAGATAAGGAAATGAAAGGCTAGAACAGCACCTCATCAAAACATAGACCATGCCCAGCAGTTATTAACAGTTAGAATGACATCTCTCTGACAATTACCCTTTTTCCTAATCTGTCTTTCTCAGAGGATTCTGGGCACACACTGTGTCCAAGTGTCTTCTACATACCAGCTAGCATCACACTAGGTCTAGCAATGTAAGTATTTGTTGAATGAAAAACTGAAGGGCTCTGTATTTCCTGTTTGAATAATCTATATTTCCCTTTTCCCCATCAAAATGATTTCCCAAGAAAATAGGTGTCCAAAGAAAAAAGATTGTCTGGGCGGGGAACACAGAGAAAGTGCAAGAGAGAAAGACATTCAGAGATTTGTAAAAGTTGTCAGAATCAAAATGGAGTCACTTATGCCAAACCTTAACAAAACAGAGAAGGGAGGGTCCTTGTGCATATCTGACTGATAAAAAAAAAACAAAACACAAAACACTATCAAAAAAGATTCTGGGCCAGGCATGGTGGCATACAGCTGTAATCCCAGCACTGGGAAGGCTGAGGCAGGACGATTGTTGCAAGTTCAAGACCAGCCGGGGCTACAGAATGAGCTCAAGGCCAGCCTGCAGATGGAGACCCTGTCTCAAAAAAAAAAAAAAAAGATACACGTCTGTAATCCCAGCACTTGGGAGGCTGAGGCAAGAGCATTGCTGTGAGTTCAAGGCCAGCCTGAACTACACAGTGAGACACTGTCTCAAAATTTTTTTAAAATTTTCTTCATTTTGCTTTTTAAAAACTCATACCTTAAAAAAAACAAAAAACAAAAAACAAAAAACCCATACCTTCCCTAACCTCCCTGGATACACTTAGTGACCCTATGGTTCACGAATATCCCAGACTACACTTCCAATCGTGAATATATTCTGTGGAGAGCTGCTCTCTCCGCTGTTCACTTTAGGTTGAGAATTAGAAAATCTGATTTCCTTTTTTCCTTCCGTGTCAGTAAAAAAATGAACCTCTCACTCTCAGAAGGGAAATGGAAGATTATCCAAACGGGCCCCTCTCTCCCTTTTTAACCCGTGAGTTAAACCAGCGTGCAACGTTAGCCTGAAGCTCTGCCCAAAAATGATCCAAACTCCTAAAGAGCCGTAACCGGAAGCCCGATTTATCTTCCCCGCGCCTCAGCAAAGGTACGCAGACCCAGCCCATTTTCTTTTTCACTCGTACCTGTTGTCTCAGTGGGTAGCCTAAGTCTGCGGATGAGACAGCGACCCGGGAGCCAAGTGCCCTGAGAATCCAGCCACCGGCGGCCGGCGTACATGCGAAGAAACTTCTGGGCTTGAGCCAACCCCCGAACAGAGACGACGCAACAGCGGGTGTGGGTCTGGACCCGAACGGAGTCCCGCGTGGAAACAGCGCGGGGATCGGTGGCCGCAGTCTGGGCGAAAACTTGATTCTCAGCGCCAGAGTCGGTACCGGCCTGAGGAACCCGCTCCGGCCGATGCCGGTAGTGGAAACAGAGGAAACCCCCGCTGCGCTGTTCCCGGAACTGGCTAAAATAGTTCCTTAGCTGAGCCGATCGCAACTCTGAGGGGATACCGCTCACGACCAGATAAACCGCAGCCTCCTCTTCTGCCTCGCTGGGCGCCGCCATCTTGGTGTATCACATGATCTACTGGAACCAACTCTCGCGAGAACACTCTAAGCCTGCCTTCGGGAATCGGTTTAGAGAGGTTGAAAGGCAGGATTTAATAACAAATCCGGGCGTGGTGGCGCACGCCTGTAGTCCCAGCCCATGGGAGGCTGAGGCAGGAGGATCGTTGTGAGTTCGAGACCAGCCTGGGCTACAAAGTGAGCTCAAGGCCAGCTGAACTGCATACTGAGACCCTGTCTCAAAAAAAGCAAAAAATTAAATAAATAAATAAAGTGAAAATCCTAAAATATTAAAAAAAGAAAGACCTTATCTCAAAATAAAAATTTTTACAAAAGGATTTACTAACTCATCAGACTCATCCAGATGTGCAACCTGTCGCCAGGAAAGACCTGGAGAAGTTGTCCAGATCTTTCCCACAGAGAGCCCCCAGCAATGATGGAAAAATTCACCTGAAAAATGTGGATTTAAGGCTCTTTCAGAAGGTTCAAATGAGGCTCAAATACCATAAGAGGCCTGCAGAAATCATTTTTAAGATACTTAGTTGTGGGTCTCCCAAGTTTTAGTCTTGCTGGGCGTGATGGCATATGCTTGTAATCCCAGCACTCGAGAGGCTGAGGCAGGAGGATTGCCACAAATTCGAGGCTATTTTGGGCTACATAATGAGTTCAAGGCTTGTCTGAACTACATGGTGAGACCCTGTCTTAAAAAACTGAAAACAAAAAAACAAAACAATCTAGGTCTTCCTCAGTTCAGAACCATTTTACTATCCATTTATTCTTCCAAGATATTGATGAGTTCCCACAAACCTGTAAGAAAAGGATAAACCAACCCAATAGAAAAATGGGCCTGAATGGGGGGGGTGTGCACCCCTGCAATCCCAGTACTTGGGAGGCTGAGGCAGAAGGATCACTGTGAGTTCGAGTCCAGCCTGGGCTACAAAGTGAGTTCAAGGCCAACCTGAACTGCATAGCAAAACTCTGTCTCAAACAACAACAACAAAAAAAGAAAAATGAGCCTGCTGGCCATGGTGCCCCACCAGCACTCTGGAATGCTGAGGCAGAAGGATTTAAAACAAGGCAAAACAAGGGAGGGAAGCCGGGAGGGAGGGAAGAAAGGCTGGGCTCAATCCCTGTACTGGTGTGTGTGTGCAGGTACTTTATAGGAGAGCAAACACTGTGTTCCACAGTGAGATGAGATAATCTCAGTAATAAAGGCAAAGCAATTACCTTACATCTACTTTACATCCACCAAATTGGCAAAACTTTAAAATCCTCTAGTATCAGTGACCATGTAATCCACTGGAATCCACTGGACTGTAATCTACTGGAAGTGTAAATTGACAACAACCACTTTGGAAAACAATCTGGTGTCTGGTAAAAGTGAGTCCATGTATCTTTTGACCCAACAATTCTTTTTTAAGTTTTTTTTTCTTTGTCTTTTTGAGACAGGGTCTCGCTATGCAGTTCAGGCTGGCCTTGAGCTCACTTTGTAGCCCAGGCTGGTCTCGAATTCACAGTGATCCTCCTGCCTCTGCCTCCCGAGTGCTGGGATTACAGGCGTGTGCCACCACACCCGGCTCTGACCCAGCAATTCTATTTGTAGCAGATATCTTAAAGGAATTCTTGTACATGTTTACCAGAAGCTGTAAGGACAGTGTGGAACTTGACCTGAGCCCTGTGATTCTGGAAAACAAGGAGGATTAAAAAACCTCCTCCTGCTTTGTGTTCTGGAACACCATTTACTGCAAAGAAACATGCTTCTTTGTATGGCTTAGATAAGGCTCATGCATGTCCCCCCTTCTTTATCTATGACAATGATAAATATGACAAAGTTTCCACATTCCAATTCTTTGCTTCATAAAATGAACTTCTTGTCCCCACTCATCAATCAAAACAAATGCCTGTTCACTAAACTTTGGTTTAGCTTCTGTCCTTTGCCTGGGTCCCTGAACTTTGGCCCATCCTCAGCTTGAACTAGCACACAACTGCTCCTCAGCAGCCCCTCCTAAGAACAGGCGGGCTTCAGGGTAAAACAGTCTCTAACCAACTGACCCATCACGCCTCTCGGCCATTCTGCTTCCTCACAGCCAGTTCTTTCTAACCTTGCTCCCTCTGAAAGAACTGCACCCTCCAACCTGCCTTTTAAAAAAAATGTGGTCCTGGGGGATGCTATCCCTTTTTATATATTTGCATCTCCTTTTTATTTTGAGACAGCGTCTTGCTGAATTGCCCAGGCTGGTCTCGAACTTGCAGTCCTGCCTTAATCTCCTGAATAGCTAGGTGTGTGCCACCACACCCAACTTCTTAATACCTTTTTTTTTTTTTTTCCGTTGGGAGACAGGGACTCACTGTGTAGTTCAGGCTGGTCTTGAACTCATTGTGTAGTGCAGGCTGGCCTTAAAATCTTGGAATGCTCCTGCCTCAGCCTCTCAGTGCTGAAATCACAGGCTTGCCCACCATGTCCAGCTGTCACAGGGCTGGGTAACTTAACACTCTTTTGTAGAATAAGTTTGCAGGTTGGCTGTCTCCCATCGTGAAAAAAGAATTCTCAGGATACATCAGTAAGAGGCATGGAAGGATTTATCAGGGAGAGATTTAGGACGCACTCAAGAGTGAAGTGCTGGCACTTACAAATGAGATGCATTATTTCCTGAAACAGAACATTTATGCTTCTCTTGAAGGGGTGGACACCCTAGGAGAACATGGCCACCCCTAGAAGGGGACCAGGCC